CCCCCAACCCTCACCCCCCTGGCTGGCCATTACCGCGCTAAGTGACTGCACTGCAAAGCCTTGACCACACCTTTCTGCTCAGCACTGAGCTGTCTTAGTCCTAAATCATGTTTTTCTTAGCCTAAATCCACATGCCTCTCTGGGATTGCCGGCAGCGCGGGGTGGCAGCAAGGGACCTGTGTCCGCTTTTGGCTTTGTGCTCAGGTGCTGCTCTTGGGCCAGAGCAGCTTCCAGCCATCCCTGGCTCCGGGAGGAGAGGCCGTATCCGAGTGGGAGGACGTGTGTGTGCGTGTGTGTGTGTACGTGCAGGGTCTGCGTACAGCCCTGCGTCACCTCGGGGTGACAGGCAGCCCGGGGTAACCTCCCCAGGGGGACAGGCAGCACGCAGCGACGGAGGGCGGTGAGCACGGCCCCGCGCGCCTCCAGCCGTGCCTCGGTTTCCCTGGGGGTTTCTGGCTACCCAAAGCCCTCTCAGTTCGGTTTTCTTGTTGTTGCTCCTTCATAAATAAAAAAAGCCACTTAAAAATAATCTCTACCATAATGTTTATTAAATAGTAATTTAAAAAGGTTTTTATACAAATCATATAAACACAGTTTGATTTTTTTGTTGGTTTTTTTTGTGGGTTTTTTTTTAACACCGAAGAATCACAGTAAAAGCTCTTTAAGTCCATAAGTCCTGGCTCAGCCAGTGAACGGTCAAATACCTTGAACTGCAAACCCTGGAGAAGTTCCGTTTCTGCATATAATTTCTTAATGGTTTAATTCCCATGCTCACCCCGGCACCTTCCCACAAAATGAAATCACCCAGCACTACAGCCTGCCTGGTAGCAACATGTCCTCACCATGGGAAGGGTGTGGAGGCAACAGCCCATTTCAGCAATGGCATTAACACCAATTTCTTTTTTTTTTTTTTCTTCTTTTCTGAATTACACAGAGGGAATTGTGATCAGCAAACCTAATCTATTTGCAGAGGAGGATGCAATGAACTGAATGCACAGACGACTTTTTTTTTTTTTTTCCCTGTTGAAGTTACAATCAAACACAGTTTTCTGTAGAACAGTAAAGCACCCAGCAGAGGTAAGTGAGGTATCGGCTTTGCAGCATTATTGGCCTGCTCCCGCCCGGCAAACGCACGCGTGTGGGCCCTGCCCCGTCTGGAAGGGGCAAGTGGGACACGCAGGGCGGATGCTTTGCTGGGCCCGTGCGAAGTTAGTGCCAACATCAGCAGTACTCTCCTGCCCCAGATCAAGAGATATATTAACACGAGTCAGTCCCACGGAATAAGTCACATACACGATACATACAGAGAATTCACGTGCGTGTGCAAACACACTATTTCTGAATATATGTATATACGAACTCTTCTCTCTGTACGCCTACTAGACACCATAACGTCACCTTTTTAATTATATATTTTCACCTATTGTTTGCCTAAGTCGACTTTTCTACTGTATGGTCCTTTTCTATTCATCCTTCCCCTCACCTGTGATTTGAAGGGGATAAAATCATCGAGCAGCAGCAATCCAGCTTTGAAATGGTCTGGCACATTTCCTCTTACTGCCTCTGTTTCTTTTGTACAGTAAAATAACACCCCTGGGGAATTTGTCCATGAAGAATGCCAAAAGAAATAAGGTGATTTGAAAGGAGAATCTGAGATACATTTACTGCCGTTTCTGTTGGGCGCACAGTGTGAATTAAAAAAAATGAAGGCCTTTGTGTGTGCGCGTCTCTGCATGTGCGTGTATGAACCGTGGATGTTTTGATGACACAGCTGCTGGTATCTGCTTCCCCAGTAACACATGCCTCTTTCTTACAGTGGAGAAGTTTTGGGGTTTTTTTTTTCCGAAAAACTTACTGTCTGATGGAGCTTTTCATGAAACACTAGACAAATGTTCCTATTCCCACCGCACCGAGGAGCAGCTGTGGCACTGTCCGTGCTCATCTACTCTCCAGATGTTGCTCGTCTCCCCAAACACCTGGCCTCCTGCAGGATGTATTTGCAGGGGCTGTGCAAACTGAGCTTCACAGCATGTCACACCTTTGGTGCTCTGCAGTTAGCGAGGGAAAAAAATCCATCCCCAACCCAAACTATTTGCTAGGCAAAATGTAAAATCAGGACATGTCAGGTATTTCCAAAGAGCCCCTGGAAAAGCAAACCCAATGTGTTGGAAAGGTTTCTCGCTTACATATGTGCAAGCTGATAGGGGAGATCTGTCTGTACTGGCTTGGAAATGAAGGCATTGGTTTGGGGCCCAGCATTTGAACTCTTTTTCTCCATTTAATTGTTTTCATAACACTCCTCTCCCACGGCACAGTGGTAAGTGGACAGGTATCGGCTGCCAAACAATGTAGCCAGACCACTTGAAAGTAGAAAGACCAGACTTCTTCAGCCAGGCTCTACCTGGTAGAGAACGGTGAAGAAGAACATTTTTCCGGGGAAGGATGAAGGCCTCACTTCTTGTTTGATACAGCACTGATCATCAGGTGGAGGAAAAATACTTCTTCTAAGGCACTTGTTCAAAGTAAAACAAAACACAGCTCATAAATAAAACTTCAGTTTTTTTTGCTGCTGGTCAGGAGCAGCGCAGCTTTGCTCCGAAGGGGATAGGACAGCAGCCGTTTGGTCCATCGGTGCTGACAGCGTCAGCTCACGCCCCCCAGCTCCAGGGAGAAGGGGAGCACCGCGAAAGCCAGGGGGGCCAGTGGGTGCCACGGCTGGGCTGCCAGGGCTGTGGGCACAGCTCCAACTTCCTTCCCTGTTCATTTTCCCTCCCTGGCACTTTGGAGAGGCCTTGGCACTGTGCCTCAAGTCAAACCCCGAGTGAAGCCCCCTTCCCAAAGCCGTTGCCTGAGCGTCGGGAGCTTGACAGGCTCTATCTTTTGTTTGCTGCAATTTTCTCATTATAGCAAAAAAAAGAAAAAAAGGAAAAAGGGCAGGATCAAGTCGTGTGGGAGATTCAAAGAAAGGCCTTCCTGATGAAGGCCTCAGCTGTTGCAATCCAAGATCTGGATTTAATAAATGGCTCTTATTCACAAATCACTTTAAGGCTCTTCAGCTTCTCTCAAAGAGGTGCTTCTACACATAGGGTTTCCTTTCTAGTTTATTTCTTAATGACTTCAGAAAGCACTGTTGTTACCATCAACAGTAAAGGTATCCCACCTTTCCCCACTACCAGGAGAAGGAAAGTTGAAGGTAACAACATGCTTCCATTTTCAGGACTGGAAACTGCAGCTTCCTGGACTTTGTGTGAAGTGCACAAGTCCCTACAGCCAAAAAGGTATCTGGACAGGGTCTAAAATGGACAGGGTCTCCGTGTGTGTTATTTCTAAATACAGGGTGGCTGAAGAAATCCCTCAGCCTTCTCAGCAACTCACCAGAGAAAGGAGGTGGGAAATAACGATCAACACTTAGTTTCTCACATCCAAAAGGTAAACCAGTCTCCCTCGCCACGTCCCAGCCACTCGCATCAGCAGAAAATGAAGATGAACCAACAAACAAGGGTCTTGGTCCCCCCTTGCCCGGCACAGTCCGGTTTGCAGGAACACCTCCTCGGTCCTGGCGGAGCGCAACCTGCCAGCGGGACCTGGTGGCAGGAGCAGCGCCTCCCCTCGCTCCTCCCGCACCCCTCATTCCCTGTTATGGCACTCAGTTCCCATAGAAAACAGCAAAAAAAGTAACGCCCTGCCAGCCCACCTCACTGGGTGCAACACCGAGGGTGATCCCCAGGGCACCCATCAGGCCTCTGAGCAGCACTTCTGGTGGTTCATCTTGACCTTGTGCTTGATGCCGTCATACAGCTCAAAGTTGTAGTTCTCCAGCGTGGTGGAGCTCCGTGAGGACAGCCCAGCATACGAGCACGTGCAGTAGAGGAGCAGACCAGCGCAGATGGCCCCGAGGAGGACACCGAGGGAGCTCATTGCTATGATGGTCACCAGGATGGGATCGAGGGTGTAGAGCCAGCTTTTTTCTTTGTCCAGCTTCGAGGTTCCTGGAGAGTTAGTAGAGAACAGTGTGTCGTTCCTATCCGATCCAAAGTAATCTGCAGTGGAATGGGCACTTATTATCCAGGTATCACTTTTTCCCCCACCATCTTTATGCATTTCTTACTTGGAGTTGTGACGGCCTTACAAGAGCATAAGCTCCCCCATAGGTATATCTCAGCAGTATTCTCTAACCCAGGTCTAGAAGTAATGTGAAGCACCAAACTACCAAGAAAGTTACGCACCCTAGTTCTTTTTTACATCTCAGGCTACGTAAATAGCATGCTAGCATTTTACACCCACTGAAACTCTGTCCCTTCAAGTGCCATCGGGTTCAAAACTATGGAAACAATCTGTCACAGTTCCCAGGCTTAATTTTCTCCATTTACAAGCCAAAATGCCATGCAAGCAGCAATTAATCCTTGAAAGATCAGTTCCACTTGTCCTAACACAAATACAATATATTGACTTTGCAAGGTTGCTTGCTGTTGAAAAAGGAAAACAAGAAAAGAAAACTAATGTCTTTGTCCAGGCACTGAGCCACCACTCGAGTGTATGTTCTCAAGTGTGTTCTAGCTCCTAACCCCCATTAAAGCTGAGGTTTGTGAGTAATTGTAGCATCTGACTCTGAAACACAAGCTCCCCTAGATAAATTGCCCATGTGGCATTTGGGTACCAACCTGGATCATCGTTGTCTTCAAAGTCTTGCTCAGAGATTGGAAAGTCATCCTCCATTCTTGGGAAGTTCACTAGAACAACAAAATGGGAAGCACTGTTTGTTTAAAGGGGCCTTTCGAGGGCATTATTGCCACTGGTCACTGGATTGCGAGACCGGCCACAAGAAAGCAATAGTTGAACTACTGCAAGGCTCTTTGTCATGGAAGGAGGAAGAACTCTTCCTCTTCTTCCTTTGGCCAAAGTCAATGAAGACACTTGCACACTCAAGAGAACAGGATCTGCCCACTACATCACATTTCATGACCACCAAATGACCAGCTTTTAAGAAGAGAGTGAGAGAAAAGCAGAGAAACCAGATAACTTGAATAGCACTAAAATATTGTCATTGGTGCCTGCATAATGGCCATAATTCACTATTAACATGCTCATGGGTATTATCCTTACAACTTTGAATAAGATCTTAGTGCCTATCATTACTTGCCACTAATGCTAGATCCATTTAGCACACTCTACTTTTCATCTTTTCCCATACATCTGACTGGACACAGAGCTTCAATGACCCAGTTTCTCTTTGGGTTTCAGATAAATTCACAGTAATTTGAGGAAGTCATGTATCATCATTATATATTTTAATGCAAAAACTGGTTGAAATGGGGAGAGCGGCAAATGGGTGTCCATATCTAGGCATTTATGTTAACATTTCTCTGATCCAAATTCCTTTTAGTGGTGACATTTCTTTTTATTGTTCAGCACAGATCAAGCACTAGTAACCAAATGCACATGCTGTAATCTGAGCAGAAGAAAGTTATTTTCCTGTGCAGTCTTCCTAGCATTATCTCTACATAGAGTTACCATGTTTTCAGATTTTCCAAAAGAAAATGCCCTTTCGTTTTGATCTGCTTAGATTTTTCAAAGCTGACTGTAACTTGGGGTGCTCAACTGAGAAGGCACCTCAAAATGATCAGGAATGCAGAAAATCAGGGACTATTAGAAAGCAGTAGAAGCCACACCTTTGAAATAGTTGTGGTTGAAACCAAGGCTACTTCACGTCTTGTGCAAAAATGGCAAGAAGAGTTTTAAGAGATTACTTAAAACTAACCAAAACCAAAGACTGTAACTTGTGCCTAAAAAACCACATGCAAACCTTATAAAAAAATATTTGTGCATATGAGCTGGAAAAGGCCTCCTGAGCTGCCAAGTCTACTTTTTTGCTATCCTACGCAATGGTATCAGGCAATCCCCGCCAACGACATTTCAAGGTTCACTTCCAGAGCAGGGGGCTCTGCCGAATGCCACACCACCCGAACACCACCTCACACCTGACTGCAGTGATCCTCTGTGCTGGTACTGGTGATACCTTTGCAAACACCCATTCTTTGGGCAGAGTTGTCTTTTGCCCTCTGCACTCAAAGGATTAAGGGATTTCTTTGAATTTTCAAGCAAACCTGGCAACAGGAAGACACAAAACCCAACACTTGCCCCTCCTAACAATGAGCTCTGCATCTAGTGACCCAGGTAATTAGGCTGAGTCGAGGCTGCTGGTAGCTTGTTGAAGAAACATAGGTGCACACCACCTTCTGTAAATCCTCACTTTAGCAGTGAGTTCACATGATTTCTCAACACTTCCAGAACTGACAGGCCCAGATGGCAACATCTTAGGGCTGGGAGAACTGCCTGAGGGCCTCTTGCAAACATTTAGAGCCAAACATGTGGAAAAATAACTTGCAAAGCAGTTCACACATGGAGATGTCTGCTTTGCTAGTCCTCCATCAGAAGACAAGCAGTGAAATTTGCCATCCATGTCACCCACACAACCCTACGGAAACTGTGGGTTGCTTGAACATGAGCAAAGGTGGAAATTGGACCATGGTCTGCCCAAGGAGCTCATGTGCGGGGAAAGGCCATTGGAAATCTTTTGCCTTTCCATATTGTAGCTCCTCTAAACTTTGTGTGAGAACAAGCTAGCAATTTGATGCTTTTTTATTTCCCAGGGTAGCCTTGAGGGAAAAGCCAGAAAAAACAAAGTATCGGTTAATCAACACTTTCAAAAGAACACCAGTTCTTTAGCCTGAAAGGAAGGAGCCCTGGGAAAACTTGAAAAGAGAGAACATTTATACAAAAAGCCCAGCCCAAAATCTATTTATTCTTCTAGCAATTTTCTCAGTTCCCCATGCTAATATGACTCCGAGTCCTGCTTAAATGATATCTTCCTCCTTGCCCATTCTCCTTCCTCCTCAGACCTGTGGTAGGCCCTTATTCTTCTGTTCCCTGCATGCCATTTCATTGCTATCAGATTGTATGTTGTCACGCAGGGCTCTATGCTGGCTTTGGGAAAATACAACTCGACGTTTCTTTTTCCATACTGGGGTTTCTTGAGTCATTAACAAAATCAGCTCTGGCTGTGTGGCTGTCTGTGGGAATTGAAGCTGGTGGTCTCAGTTCAGCTCCTAGTGGAGATGATTTCCCATCACAGAAACTAGCCTGCTATTTGTCATCAATTAGGCTCCTTTGTGACAAATCTGAGCAGTATTGTCACAAGTGGAGCAGGCCATGGAAAGTGACTCCCTTGGAAGGCAGTCCCCAGAAAAGCTCTGCAAGCTGCTGGGCAGAATGGGAGATATATGCATTGCCCTGTGCTGTGGAGAGCTGCTTCCTTAAAAGGCAGCTTTCAGGTGCAATTTCCTTTGCATTTTAAAAAGAAAAAATACATACTGGAGAAGGGTAGACAAGAAAGTTAGAGGGAATTGTACTTAAACAAGAGGAGCGCTTTTTCCTGACGGAAAGGCTCTTTTTAAAGCGCGTGTGCTGAATGATGGCTGTGAGCACCTAGCCGGTCACGCCCAAAAGATGATGTTAGTGATGCTGTTGGAAACGGCCGGATGCCGAGAAAAGGCTGTTATCTGTTGGATCTGAGAACACTGCCAGCTAAAAGGCTAATTTATGGGACCTGAAAAAAGAAAGATGAGATTCTAATCAAAGACAAGGAGCAACTTAAGTACCATGTTCATATGAACTCACCTGAAGGGAGAGCAGGAAAGAATTAGTATTTGCAGAGATTAAGGAGCTTTAATGTACATCTGGTTTAAAATAGTAGCAGGGGCAGGAAGGATTGGGACAGGGAGGGGGTTACTGGAAGGAGGGGGTGACGTGTGCTCGATATGCCTTGCCAGGGCGGACAGGGGAGGTACAAGAGCAGATGAGGTTCTCCAGTGTCCCACCACAGACATACATGTGTCTCCTGCAGGAAAGCTCTCCAGACCTGCCCAAGGCAGCTCACCCCGGCAAAGCTGAGGTCAGCGCACCATATGGGCTGGCATGTACCTCCCGCCACCGCACACGCTCGATGCCGGCCTGCCTGCACAGGCTTACCGGCAGCGCTCACCGCCTTAGGCAGAGACCTTTGCACCAAGCCAAGAGCTATTGCTTTGGAGACGACACCCAGTTCCAATTGCTGGAGCCTAGACACATTCCTCCAAAGCAAATGACCACCAAGAAAAGAATTTGCTGTTTCTTTCTAGACTGCCTTTGCCTGGTTTCAGTTTGGGCACCCAGCACTGCCTTCTGCCTGGTCCCTCCATCTCAGGCGGAGCTCTGTCTATCACCATGCATCTCTCTACATGCAGGCATTTGCAGATGGTGGCCATGGCGCCTCTTGGGCTCTTTCTAGATGAACAAAATGAGACTCTCAGCAGGAGGTGCCTTTCCCAAAGGACGTATCAAACTTGCAGCAATTTCCAGCCCTTTTTGTTGCCTGCTCGCAGCCTCTCTGGCGCAGGGGAGCCTGGCCTGGAGAGCCACCAGGATGCACTCCCACCATCCCAGTGCTCCTTCTCCCCACTTCCCGCAGGAGTCCGCAGGCTCTGGGGCTGTAGGGGATGCACCAGGTGATGGTGGCTTGTGGGGTCTGCTACCTACCGTCTTTCACTCCCCAGTAACGTCCATGGCTGTGCCTCCTGGTACAAAGGAGGGGTAGCCAACTGCCCTCTGGTCCTTTCCACAGTGGGGAAACAACTGTGTGCTGCTCACTTCCCCAAAACCAGCAAGTGCCCTCCTACGTGCTCACCCCTCTCTCCTGCTGCCACAACAGCCACCTCGGTTGGTGCTGTCCCGCCTGGCAAGGGGATCGTTGGAGGTGCACAGCTGCTCTGCTGCCAAACAGCACCCATGACGGCCTGAAACATTAAATCCAGCTAAGCCCAGGAAAATGGGGTCAGAAATTACCGCTCCCAAGCCTTGGCAGAGAGAGGCAGAGCTCCAGCTCCACTCTGATCCTCACTTTTCCCCCTTTGCTCTTTCCCAGCCTTTTTCTTTCTGCAGCAATAGCGTGACTCCAACACACATCATTTTGTTTTGACATAGCAGAGCAGCCGCTGCGGCCTCGCCTTGACACCGCTGCGTTTAGCGGTGGCGGCGCAGCACTTCTCCTCCGGCTGGGAGCCCCCGGGGCTGGGGGGGGAGGGGGTGTGACACCTCCCACCCTGGTGAACAGGGAAGTGCTTCTCAAAGCAGCAACACAGGCACCAGGCAGAAACACTCCCTCTGAATCCCCCAGTGCTCTATTTCCAGCTGAAAATCCACCTCACTTCTCTCTTCCCCACTCCTCCAGAAACACAGAACGATTTTTAGTTTACAAAAGGGCTAAATCCCTGCCAAATTTCAAATCAAAACAGTGCTTTGGCTACAGCTGAGCATTAAAGAAAGCAAACAAGCAGCCTCTCCCCTGGCCCAGCCGCCCTCCACATCACGGGAACGCCCGGACCTTAACCTCAGATTGCCTCAGGGCTGCCTTGGTGGCAGTGCACACTGCGGCACCATCTTCAAACCCGGTGGCACCAAGGAGCCTCTTGCATTCCTTGGGCTTCCCATATGCAGAGAAGATGAGGAAGCGTGGCTGGTCAGATGAAGACCCCCACCGAAAGCCCTCAGAGACGTGAAGCTGGGCTGGGTGCTTGGTGCGGAGGTGAACGCAAGCAGACAGCGATTTCCAGCCCCGGCACTGCCCTCTGATGCATGGCACCCTGCCCTCGCTGCACACATGGCAGACGGCCAAAGCGGCTGCCCAGATCAGGGA